ACAATGCCAGATACTAGGCTGAAAGAGCAACCGTGAAAGTTTGGCTTCTGCTTGAGAAGTGCTTTTATCTGGAGTGACCTTTAATCCCTTGGGCAGAGTTAGTGGTTATTTAGCTGATCTCCCTGAAACCTTTTTTCTGATCATGCTGTTCAAACACAGCTGCGAGGGCCAGAGGGCCCTTCACTTCCAAAATGGCATTTGTGTTTGCATGCATATCTTTTTCTCTTTAATTATTACACCTATTGAAAATGTATAATACCAGGGCAGCAAAAGAAGATTTTGCCTTTACTGGATGAACCTGAAGCTAGGCAATCAGGGACAAGACTTACAGTTGAGCTGCTACAGTCTCCTTCTGTAAGGAGAAAATTGCAGTTTAAATGGTGTGTCTGATCTAATGCAACCACTGCATTCTTCTTGCTGGTCCTCAGCTGGACTTTTGACTGAATTCTGCAGTGAGCAAACACGCACCTGTCTCTGACATATGTACACGCATGCACATGGACGCTTGTTTGTGTATGCCTTCTCTCTCTCCCTTAATATGATAGTAACTTTAAAAAGTGAACAGGTTTATCAGAAGGGTTCTTTTTAGCCCTGTTATAGCATGTTTTAATGAAGGAGGAATTTAGAGATGAGACCATGTCTTTTGACTCCTTGACAAATTCTAAGCTGTTAGTGTTCAGTCGAATCCCTTTTGTAACGGTTTTCTTTACTTATTTTGTTTTATTTTTGTCTGCTTTAATTCCAAGTTTCATGTCTTCACAGGCCTATTTTCGGACAGTAGAACTTGTTCAGGAGCCTATTCCTGGCTCACCAGGTCTGAGTTTCTACTTCAGAATCAATGGCCGACCCATTTTCATTAAGGGCTCGAACTGGATTCCAGCAGATTCTTTCCAAGACAGAGTGACCTATGACATGTAAGCCACATTTGATGTTCTCTAAGGAGAAAGGATTGTGTTTTCCTCCTCCCGACTCTCTATCGGCACTCTATCAAAGGGTGGCATTAGTGGGCGGAACTCCTTTCAAGGTAGGACGCTAATTGTTCTGGGTTGGAGGCCTCAGAATTAGGGCTTAATTGACATTAGTGTATTTGAGTGATGTTCAAGGCATGGAAGTGCAGTAACTGATAGGAAGGTGGTTGTTTGCTGTCCACAGGTTACTGGCCTTTTGGGTATTTTTAAGGATGATCCTTGGGCTGTCTGATCCTATTGCCTGGGACACGTTCATTGGTACTCGGAGGAAGTGCACTTCAGCCATGTCCTAACCCATCTCGTACAGGGAGACAAAAGTGCATAGTAGCTTCTCTCCCTTTTTTCCGCCCTTGGTCCAGGCTTCCTGGATTTCAATGATGCAGCACCCCAGAGACGCAGGTGGGATGGGGACCACACTGTACTTTGACTAAGGTTTGCTCTGGGTAGTTGGGGAACGAGTTCAACAGGACATGCTGCAGTGTGCATTCACATGCAACTTAGAGGCTGCCAGCATGATTAAAGAAAAATTAATGGAGCCTGAATCCCTTAAAATGAGATTCAGAGTCTCAGCCTTTCTTCTTCTCTCACTCCCTTCTTCTCGCTATGCATTGTGGAACTCGGGAAGAGAGTATAGATTTCTGAATGTGTTTAGAAGAGGATTTAAGTTCAAGTGATAGATAGTTAAAGCAAGTAATATCCAAGGAGAAAAGAACAACCTGATTAAGAAAATACAGTATTTCTAAACCGCGTCCTGCCAATACTTCTGTAAAGGCACTTACTTGCATGTGTCACTCCATCTATTTCATAAGTGTTAACAGGACCAAGTAACTTTTTCTGCACAAAAAATTGCTTTTTGAGAACTCTGCCCAGACATGCAGGCTTAGAAGGTATCAAAATAGTCTGGTTTCTATCAGAGTTATATGTCTTAGATTGCCTGCTAATGAAGAATGTTTGGGAGTTTGGGGGTTTTTTTGGTATAACCTTAGAAACTCTTAAGTGATACAGTTTCACAAAACTTGTATAAATCTTCTTTTTTGTATTTGACAGATTATGGCTACTCTTGAAGTCTGCAGCAGATGCTAACATGAATGCACTTCGGGTTTGGGGAGGAGGAGTATATGAACAAGATGAATTTTACGATATTTGCGATGAAATAGGAATAATGGTAAAAATAAACACAGAACACTCACTTAAAAACTGATGAGAACTTCTAAATAAGAATCCACTCTAAATGAACAAAAGACGAGAATGAATACAGAAGTTCGAGCCATCTTTCCAAAGGACATGGTAGAGTACCAACCTGAGAAGTCAGATCAACCTTGTTTTTTTTTTTTTTTATTTGAATGCTTCCTGATTACCGAGGCTGTCTGTTGAAACTGGAAGTGATATTTTTGAGACTTTATATTAGAAACTTGGCTTGTGTTTTCTCTTGTAACTAAGGCTACAACTCTGTTGTTCACTCACCCCTACTTCCCTTCCCAGGCCAGATTCTCCCCTTCATCTCCTCTTCCTTTTCTCCCCACTGTCTTTTTTTCCTGTCTCTCTCTTACATTTCCCAAAACCAGAGCAACAGGACTGTGCCTTTAACTTTCTGTCTTCTAGTTCTTTTCAGACCAAAACTGTCATCTTTATGTGCTGTATCTCTTTCCCAGTTCTACATTTCCTAATCTCTTGGGAAAGAATGAGAGAAGAAATGAAAAGCTGAGGGACTGGTACTAGTGATGTCACTTAACGCAGGAAGAAGATGTTTACTCTGTAATGGTGAGCACCATAGAAGAACTTCTGCAGACTGTACACATCAGCAGGGACTTGTAACACTCAGTCAATTAGTCGTGAAACAAGTAGTGCATGGGAGGGCGGTTATTCACAAGACCAAATAATATTTTTTCCAAAGCAGCCAAACTGTGGGGCCCCGTAGCTGTGCTTAGGGCTTACTCATGTGAGAATAGCCCTGCTGAAGAATCCGAGTTCTTGAGTAGATGCCCCAGATTGAGAGCAAAGGCCTTGCAGTCTGACCTCAATGAGGGCTGAAGGCCTGCTGTATTTGAATTTTGTGCTTTCAGGCACCTGCAAGTTATCAAAACACCTAAGAAGGTAGTCATGCTTTTCTCTACTGTGGAAATGGATTTTATTTCTTTTAAAAGTATTTTCTCCTTTATAGCTATAGCTGAAGGGGTTTGGAGGTTTTTTTGTTCAAACTTTTTAAACAAAAATATTTCACTTGGCCTGAAGCCAAGCATGGAAGGCCTTATCCAAAAGGCCATTTTGAACAAGCTGTAATTGAGTACAAATGTAGCTGTAAGGGGAACACCTGCTGCAAACACTGATAATCCTAGATGAGCACCTTTGATTATATGAGCTTGGAGGCACATGTTAATAAGTTTTGATGAAATAGTGACTAGACGACTGAAGGCCAAGTTACATCTGGTATTAAAATCCTAAGAAGTGTGTTTGGTCTTACTCTACAGCATAAAAAATCAGAGAAACAGAATTGATGCCTTGCTGCCTTCTGCTGTGTGTGCTTGAAAAAATAAAACGTTACATCTATTTTAGTCATCTGAATGAATGCCCTGATTTTAAGGGCTTCTGAGCACTTACAATTCTTATATTTTTGACACTAGGCACCTAAGTAGGCCACTTAGATCTGTGCCCGTACAGTGCTCAATGCAAGATTTAGATCTTATTTAACAGCCAAAATAGCAAGTAACTGCAGAAAATGGGACCCTTACTCTGGAGGGGGCGGTGCTGGACACTTTTGGTTTTGTTTCTTCTGATAGTCTCGCAAAGGCTTAAAAGTGCATTAGAGTCAAACTGTGCATAAGGAAAAACAGTGATAGCTCACTGAGGGGAAATAGCAAGAGAAAGTTTCTTTCAATAGAGAGTTTTGTCTCTACACAGTCACTGAAGGATTCTGAGGGATTCTTCAGCAATAGCTCTGCTTTTTTGTACAGTGCTAGGAGTGTAACAATTATTAATGGATCCATTGCCTCCCACTGTCCTGTTCCCTGTCTTCAGTTTTCTTGGGGAACATATGCTGAAAAGAGTCATGGAAAAGCATGTTCTCACGGCAAGGAAAATGCAATTGTATGACAACGGGTCTGGCAATCTCTATTATTTATGTAGTGTGGTATTCAGAAAAGTGTAGTCTCCTACAGACTCTTTTGGGTTAACATGCTCCTTCCAGAGATCTTTCCGTTAATGTTTGAGATGGACTATCAGGAGTCTGGAATTTACAGCAATTTGAAAAACAGAACAGGTAAAACAAGAAATCTTACCCATCTCATTGGGCTTCTTCCTTTTGCCTTTTTTGTAATTCTTCTCCTTCAAGGTACAAATGGAGTTCAGTGCTGAATTGAAAGGTTTGCTGTTCTTTAGTGGTATCTACTTGATCTTTCTTTGAAGAGAAGGATTGCTGTGTTGTTAGAGGACCTAGTTTGTTTCTGCCCCTCTTACTGGGTAAGATTTGCTCTTTTTAAGATGAATTCATGCATTTAGTGTGGAAGTGTTCTTTTAACAAGTACACTTGAACATCTGTTAAGTGTGCTTGATACCACATTGGAAGAGTTGCTGTGTCTCTTTGATAAGTAATGGGGATTTGGTGTTACATCTGCAGAGTAGTAAATACAGAATTGTTCTGTTCAGCTGGAGGTTGTCCCATGTTCACATTTGAGCATTGGATGGGTTCTAATTATTCCACCGAAAATTACTGAACTCAGTCTGCTGAGCAATATTCCACTCATCGGTGAAGGCTGTCAAGATCTGACTCCTAAGGATAAATATTTTGTAACTCTGATATTGAGGAAAACCACAGTGGAGTATGCATGTACTGAACCCTATGGAGGATGTGAGTGTTTTGGTGATACTTTCCAAGTATAAGAAACAGAACATTTCAGTTTAATTCTTTTTGAGATAAATAACTTCTGTGTGAGCAAAGGATTGTGCATCCCAATAAGCATGTGTTTTTCAAGTATGTAAAAATGATTTGCTAACAGGTTTTTTTTGTTTTGTTTTTTTTTCTTTTTTTCTTCTATTTTCTTTCCTTTTCGCTGTAGATTTGGCAGGATTTTATGTTTGCATGTGCGCTATATCCAACTGACCAGGATTATTTAGAATCCGTAAGAGCAGAAGTTTCTCATCAGGTATTTTGTCCGTGTGTCGAAGCTCTGTTTACCATTACCTCTTTTTGAGTGACTGACTGTATAAGTTAGCTTTCCAAAAATGCTTATTTAGAAGTGCTTGTTAGTGTACGTTTATGTAGCAGACACAAAATCGAACCCTGCTAAATCCTCTTTAACTGACTTGCAGGAGTAGTCAGTCAAGCAGAGGTGCAGACTTTCCTCATATCCAGACTGCCCTCTTCTCATGGACATGTAAGAGCATTCACTGAGAGCAAGCTCTAATGATTGCAATATGCCTTAGCACAGAATTTAGCCTTTACATGTGTCTGAGTAGATGAGGATGGAGGTACACATATGCATATGGTAGATATATGTCAACGTATTAAAAGTTTGCCCCTCTGTAAGTGTATATTACAAAAGTTTGAGCCTGGTGGAGGGCTAAGGGAATAGTGAACAGTGTGGATACAAACAGGAGTTGTAGGCTTAGCATATGTAATGTACATGTGGACTTGTAATTCAAGTAGTAATAAAGTGCGGTGGGTTTGTTTTAATTTTTTTTATTTTTAAAAGAAGTAATTTTGCTTGACTCCTGAGGTTGTAAGTTGTATTTCAGGTAAGGCGTTTAAAATCCCATCCATCAATTGTTCTGTGGAGTGGTAACAATGAAAACGAAGCAGCAATTGCAAGCAACTGGTTCTCCATACCTTATGCTGCCAGAGAAGTCTATATCAAAGACTACGTGATGCTTTATGTGAAGAACATCCGAGAAATAGTTCTTACTGTAAGTGACCTCAAGAAATTGTAGGGGTGTATGGCTTGGCAGAAGGTTTAAATGTTTGCAATTTGAGCGACTTGGGATGTCTTTTTTTTTTAATCCTTTTGGAAAATGGAAAAGGCACATTATTGAGGAATTGCACTTTCCAAGCTTTTATAAACAACTCTAAACTCAAGGGTTGTCCTCAAAGTGAAAGCAACCAAAAAATTACTTATATCTTTAACACTTTGCGATGTGTAAAGGAAGACCTGAAAATATAGGGGATCTTGCTTCTTTTTTCCCTTCCTATTTTTAATACCTCCCCAAATGCCTTCACTTCCAGTGGACAAAAATCAAATTGCCCATTAGTTAATTAATCTAGATGATCAGATTTCGTTTATCCTGATTTTGTTGACGGATACTGTAAGAAAGATTTAACAACCCTCAGGCCTTTTAATAGCAGTTGAAGAAATTCATAAAGATGTTATTTCTTCAAGTGTGCTCTTCCAGTATTTGACTTAAGTTTTTTGGCTTAAGCAAGTTAAACAAAAGCTACGCTAAACATTGTCCTCATGCTGTGTAGTCATTATATTGTGTGTTTTTTAAAACAGACTAATAGTATTTTACAGTATACGAAGGCAAAATAAAATATTTTGAGATAAGACTTAAACTGTGAGCATGCAGACCAGAAGCACCTGAAATCTGTGAAGTCCACTGTGATTTGGCATTACCTATTTTGCATAGCTTTTGTAGTTTTATTTTTCCTCCTAGAAGTATTGCAGTTCTTCATTATTTAATGGAATCTGCTTTTAACTAACTTTGATGTGTGTACATAGAGTGAAATTGAGTTAAAAGTCCCAAATTGGGGTTGCATAACTGTATAGGGATTAACAGACAGTGCTTGAACCACGGGTGAATATTCTAAACTCCCCTGTTAGCTAAGAGACAAAACGTTGCAAGAGTTTTGTCCAGTTAGAACTTCCTTCTTCAGATGCTCGTGGCCTTTTCCTTCCCAGTTATCCCTTGTATGGTATGATCTTATCGACTTCAGGGTATGATAATTTTAGTCTAATCTCTCCTTTATGGGATGAGATGCGTTTCATGTTATGAGGTTCATGACCTAAAGTTTCTCTTTGCTAAGACAGGCACGCAGTATGTAGGTGACAGTGATGTTATTGCTTGTTATTGGAGGCTGCTGATGTTGCCAGACTAGTTGTACTCTTAAGAATTTAGAATACCTTTCTACTGGAAAAGTTGAGATAGAGGAAACAATAAAAATGAGGCCAGGTTTGAAAGAGCCTACTGAAAATGAAAAGGATGCCGCTCTTGAGGGCAGTTATGCATTCTCAATGGTAGTGGTGTTTTATATTCCTGGTTAACATCTTGATTCTAGGTTTCTGTATTTCAGTCAGGTTTTCTGGAACTGAGTTGTTTGTAAAAGTATGCTGTGGTGTTTCTGTGATTAGCTACATGAGTTGGATAGCCAGTGCCTGTGCAGCAAAGTGAGGTGTTCTGTCTTGATACTGGTTTTGAGTTACAGTTCACTTGTCACAGAATCACAGAACGGTAGGGGTTGGAAGGGACCTCTGTGGGTCATCTAGTCGAACCCCTCTGCCGAAGCAGGGTCACCTACAGCAGGCTGCACAGGACTGTGTCCAGGTGGGTCTTGAATATCTCCAGAGAAGGAGACTCCACAACCTCCCTGGGAGTGCTGCTGTTCAGGACAGACCCTCTTTTATTTTAAACCTACAGAATAACTATTTTGAGTGCCAGAAGGAACCATACAGTGAAATAATTTCAGGTCCTGTGCAATACAAGCCAGCTGAGGAAACTTGTAACTACTAGCAGTACTGGACTGTATAACTTAAAAAGACTTCGAAGTTTGAACTAAGGACTTGAAGGAATCCAGGATATCCTATAGTAAATTGGTTCAGTTAATTATTAATTATTCATGTCAAAAAAAAAAAAAAAAAAAAAAAGACGGGGGCTTTTAAGATTTTTCTTAAAATGAAGCACGTGTCTAAGTGCTTTGTTGTATTCGAGCCAATTGCTGTAACTTGTAAATGGTAACTAACTCAGGCCCCTATCTTACTACAAGTAGGGTGCTAAATGAATTATACCTGTGAAAGGATTCCTTCAGTATTTTGTAGAGTACTGCTAAAAGATTTAGTACACTAAATCTACTGAGGCTATAAATAAAGGCAGCTCTGAACAATTTGAAATGTAACCCTTCTTATAGTCTCATCTGTCTCAATGTGCAGAGCCAGCCAAAATTACAACAACCCGCAATGCTACCATGCAGGCATTCGTAGCAGAATACCTTGGCTTTGTTAGGACTAAATTTTGATGACGACTTAAGAAGAAACGGGAAAATCATGGCCTTGTTCCTACAAAAACACTGCAAAAGTAATGATTTTCCATAAAGAAGTCACAGTACTCAAATATTAATGTTCCTTGAGTTTATTTTTCACAAGGCACACTTTAAATAGATTTCATTAAGAATTTAGAAGCATATAAAGATAGAAAAATCTCTTGATGAGAGGAGAGACTCCCTTAGAACGGCAGAGCAGGCAATATCATGCCCAGCTGTCCTCCAAGAACATAAATAAGAAGCTAATTAAGCAAGTAACGATGATGAATGTCAGTACACAAAGGGCAACATTGCCTAAGTGGGGACTCAGAAATTTGGAAAAAGCATGTTCTCCTTGCCCCTCCCTCCCATCCCCTTTCAAAAATGTGGTCTATGTATTCAGATGATAAAAGCCATTCACTTTGTGAGGGGGGTGTGGTTTTGGTTTGGTGTTTTTTGGTGTTTTTTTTTTTGTTTGTTTTTAAATCCCAGGAAGATAAGAGTCGTCCTTTTATTGCATCCAGTCCCACCAACGGCTTGGAGTCAGTTAAAGAAGGTTGGCTCTCCCAAAATCCTTATGATACCCATTACGGTGACACTCACTTTTATGACTACAGCAATGACTGCTGGAACTGGACAGTGTATCCTAAAACTCGTTTTGCTTCAGAATACGGATTTCAATCCTGGCCTTCCTTCAGTACAATCGAAAAGGTAAGGCGGGGCTTCCATACCTTACTGTCCCATCTTCCCTCATCTAGCGAGGGCAGTGAGTCTCTTCCCAGCAAACTACAGCATCCGAACCATAGCTGGGATAAGATGTCGTTAGGTGTGGTATGGCGCAGGTGGGATGGGGGTGTGCGCTGGCATGGGAGAGAGTGAAGTGGGACTGTTTCCCTTCTCATTGTTCAGTATATTCACCTTGATGTTGCAAGAGGAGCCAAGTTGAGATGAGAGCCTATTATGAGACTATTAATTTTAATAGTAATTCTATTTAATACATAGCTTAGTAATGATTGCCTGACATCTGTTTCCTTTTGCTGTGTCTAAGCATAAGTGTTCATTTAGAAACAGAAGAAATGTGACAAATGCTGAATTGTGCTGAGTTCTACAATGTTTCAATTTTTATCATGTTTACCAATTTATTTTACTTAAATTACTTGTTTCTTTATGTCTTACATATAAGAGGATTTGGTTTTGTCTTCTGTTAAATTTAGATATTGTATATTCTATCTTATTATCCAGTTGGAGCAGAGACGTACTGTGCTGTTTGTCCGTTTGTTCAGAGAGAAGGGAATATCATGCTGATACTCGTGCATGCAACTAAAAGGAGTTCAGAATGTTCTTTTCAATTTACTGGGCAAAGTGTATTATCTGAGACATCAGTACATTCATCCATATTAATAACAATGAAAAATATTCAATCCAGCCTAAAAAAGAACAAATTTAAATAAAAAGATTTTATAGAGATTGTAATTACAATAAAAGCTTGACACTAATAACTGTATAAGCTATGCTGCATTGTTGTCCTTAGTTGAAAAAGACTGTTTAATGATCATTTGTTTTCAGAGACAGGTTTTGAAAATACACACATTATTAGAATTTACAGCCCTACTAACTTCTGTAACTTTTATACCTAAATGTGTTTGACTAGAGTACGTTCTTCCATCTTAGTCTGGGGTGTTTCTGATTTACTATGAATGCAAGCAAACCTATGAGCTCCCTTGGCCAAACTGAACCTTGGGACAATAAGTTAAATGTCATTGAGCCAAAAGTTGCTCTTCTGGGTACGACAGCAATGTCTGTTTTCATTTATTTGTACAAGGAGTATAAGCAAAGGGTGTTGCTGATTCAAAATCCTTGCATGACTGCATGAGGCACTGTAGAAATATACCACCAATTTTAAACGGTTTGGATGATGTCAGCAGGCTGTAATGGATATCCTTTCCTGAATATCCTGTCGGTCATTAAATGCACATTTTGCCTTTTCATTCTGATCTCTTTCTTTTGTGTATTTTAAAAGGTTTCCTCCACTGAGGACTGGTCCTACACAAGCAATTTTTCTCTCCATCGACAACACCATGAAAATGGCAATGATCAGATGCTTCAACAGATTGGGCATCATTTCAAGCTTCCCCAGAGCACAGATCCTGTAAAAAAGTTCAAAGATATGATTTACCTCACTCAGGTAATGGTGGTGTCTTCAGTATAAGTAGCTGTCAATACTTGTTCCATTAGATACTGTCAGCGGTTAAAACTGGGCCTGTTCTGTTTGGTAATGTTCAGTTATATGGAAAGTTTCTGCATTGAGGCATTGGAGGGTCCAGTTTAATTTGGAACGAGCTTGTCTCTCATTTATTGGAAAGAGACTCCAGTTTTCACCATAGAAGGGCTGGAATGTTTCTCGGGGAATTTCCCAGAAACTGGCTCAAGGGGAGAAAGTCTGGCTGTGTGTATGACCTTGGTCCCTGTCCCCAGCTGGGACCACTCATGAAGCTGGCTGGGAGAGCAGGGACGTGCTGCCCTGCCTTGGTACGTAATTTTTCCTGGTGCTGCTCTGTTACTCCCTGTTCCAGGGTAGGTATGCTGTGCTCTTCATGTGGCCCCTGTAGGCTTACTCCTTTGATTTTTGCCTCAAAGAATACATGAGCTTTTGAAACAAGACAGTTTCTAGAGAATGCAGTTCTTTATGAATGAGTCTATTAGTAGCCGTTGTTTTGTTACGGACTCAGATATTGATATTTTGCAGAATCTATTCTGGTTTTTTTTTCAAATCAGTCGGTTATATTTTGCTCTTCATCTGTAGTAGTTTACCTTGTGCTTATTTCTGTCTTCGTGATTTCTATGTGATGTCTAAATGATGTTAAGTAACTTTTTAATGCTATTAGGCAAGTTTGAAGTGCTGTTCCTTTTTGTTGTGTTCCAAGAATTTCAGAAACACTCTTGATGGGAACAACTGCGCATTCACTAAGTTTTTAATGTTTGAGAGCTGCTGTCAGCAAGTTTTATATAAACACAAAACAGCTGGAGAACTTCAGGCACTGATGACAAGAGAACAAGGATAGACGATGCTGTGAAATTGAAAACAGGGGTAAAACATGCACAGTGAGGTTCTGACTCAAAAAGCTATGAGAGTTTCTGCAGGGTTGTCTGTCAGGGCCTTATTAACAGGTTAAACAATTTAAGAATACCAGAATAAGGATAGCAAAAAAGATGAAGAGAGTAAACTTGGCTCCAGTGGTTAACTTAAAGACACTTAAGAGAAGTGTTCTCTTTACCTTTTGAGCTGTCCTAAAGAATAACTTTTTCCTTTCTTTTGAGACTTCCTTTTAATACCTGCCCAGCCTGGTAATATACTTTGTGAAGAAAATAACAGGCTGTTTGGCTGCTATTGAGAACTTGGCCAGTGAAAAATTCTGAAAAGTCTTTTTTAAAGACAAAGTGGGGAAGGAGACAAGAAGTGGAAGTGCACACGAAAAAAAGGTTGCTCTTTTGGTGCACAATTTTGACCATGTACTGGGAACAGGTGGTCAGAGTATAGGCATGTGGGCATCATGGTGATGTATGCTGGAGGTAGGGCAGCATAACATCATTTTGCAACTCTTGGGCTTTTTATTTACATTAATTTTTTAAAAATATATTTATTTTAGTTTTTTTTTCCCCTGTCTTCCGTTTTCCTTTCAAAGACCCTGTTGCCCAGTGGCCTTCACTGGATGGAAGGCAGGAAGTAGCCCCTTCAGAGTTTCTCTAAAGATACTGCTTGCAAAGCTGTTGGGAGCTGCTAGGAATAGATCTCCTTCAAGCAGAGGCCCACTGCACTGCAGATGTATAGTCTTCAAGGCTCAAATTTAAAGTTATGTGCTGTTGCTGTGAAGTCTGTGTTGTATGTTAATAGAGACACACGTGCTTTGAAAGTAAAGTGAGATACAATACACCAAAAATATTTTTTTTATGTGTGTTTGTTGACCAAGGTGATGCAGGCTCAGTGTATAAAGACAGAAACTGAATTCTATCGGTTTAGTCGAAGTGAAATAGTCAAGGGAGAAGGACACACAATGGGAGCTCTTTACTGGCAACTCAATGACATTTGGCAGGCTCCTTCCTGGGCTTCCTTGGGTAAGTTTTATAACAGTCTGGTGAAAAGCACCATCAGTCCTGTTTTCCTCATCTGGAAGTATCAGAATAAGAAGTATGGCTCTGCTCTCTCTCTTGGGCAACTTTGCAAACTTTGAACGTGTTTCTGTCCATCCTTTAGAAATGCTTTCCAGAAAAGTGTTTTTCAGGATTGTCCTAATAGACTGTGAAAGCAGAAGAGGGTGAAGAACAAAGCAATTCTTTTTCTGTGGACGTTCTGCTGTTCAGATTTAGCAGCCACTAACTCTTACCCTCGTGTTAGCAAGGTTTAGTTTAGAGAAGTTAAAATCATATGTAACTCCTAATTTCTTAAAAATACAGTTTTTTATTTAAGCAGTATTCTCATTCCTTCTAAGGAAATAATATCATTGAAGCCAGACAGAGCTGCCTGTTAGGAAGCAGTAATGGTTTAGACTGAGGGCACAACCCCGTTGTGAGGTAAACTTTCAGCTGCCCTTGGTTGTCATATGTAGAGCTGGATCTTCCTGAAAGTGTGTGCAATGTATCATCTAGGTTTTTCCAGAGAATTTTTGCCTTTTTTTTTTTTTTTGCAAGTTTAAGTATTTTAAAATTAGAAAGATAAATAGTTCTAGAATTGGAGAATTCTAAGAAATTCTGTTTCCAAAAGGGCCTGTCCTAGAAATCCCTGGTTATATTTATGGGCTCAGCTTGTATGTACCTAGCCACCCTAGGTGAGAATGGACAGAGAGGGAGCTAGTGGGATAGGAAGGTAAGAAGGAGCACCAATGTGCAATTATACTTTCTATAATATCAACAAATCTGGTTGATTTTGTTCCACCTGCCCCCCCCCATGGTAAAATGATTGAAACCTCACCCTTCAGTAGGCAGTAAGGGCACTGTCAAAAAAAGCTGCAGAACTGCAGTCCTTTTCTGAGGAGGATGAGATTTCGTATGTAAAGGCTAGGCATCTAGATTCCTTCTGTGTTCAGTTGGGGGGGGAGATGGTTATCTCTAGGGTGTGATTCATTGTGTCCTCAGCTATCTCATAAGTGGGATGAATTATCTTCTCCATGTTGAATTTGATTTTCATAGAACTTAGTATGACACCTCTCACCCAGCATAGCTTCTGAGAAGCTCTTTATAGGAGAAGATGACTAGCTTGAGATTTGATGTCTAACTTAGTGTCAGGTGAGGTGAATCACTCTTTGTGACTAAATTATTCTGCTAATATGCTATTTATGCACATGATATCTCCTTATATATTATATGTGTATTTTTTTCCTTTTAGAACACAGAAATGGAGTAATCGGACATATAAAAAGATAAGTCAGTAAGAAATAGGAGAGGAATGTGTGGTATGAGGGAAGTGATTGTGTTTCATGTTCTGAACATTTTGTCTAGAAGCCATTTTGAAAATGGAGAAGCTGTTCTGTGGGCAGCTCTATAGGACTTGGGTAGATTCTCTTTCAATTTTAGTTATTTCTCACATACTCTGCTTTTGAAAATCTTGGTTTAAGAGTTTAATGTGTGATGAAATCTGAGTGAACCAGGAAAAGCTAAGAGTTAGTGTGAAGTTCTCGATCTGTCCTTAGAACACAATGCTATTTGATTTTGCTTTAAAAAAAATTAGCCCACCTCCCCCTCCTCCTCTTTCTCTGGGAGGTGTTTGTCGCTCTCTCCCTTCTTCTTTTGCTAGTGGTTTGTGGTGGTTTTTTCCCGTTTCCTTTATTCATCCGAGCAAAGCAACTGAAACCAACAAAGGAAAATGAACCAGTAGAAGAAACATGCTATTTTGTTTAAATGTTAAGGCAGCAGTCCAACTATCAGGCTCATCTTTCTGGACTTTCTAGACTTGTATTAGGAAATGGAATATCCCAGTGTTCGTTTTTATGATTCTAGCAATGGCTGATGCTCTTAGGCTTTAAGTGCCTCAAGAGAAAAAAATGCTTGGGAAAATGTCTCTTTTTGAAGACAGGTGTATTGATAGATGAAGAGGAGACCATAAATGTCGGTTTAAGTACAGAGCTGACGTCATTGTAGAAAATATATCAAGTACTTGAATTATTCATATGTTCTTGAAGTTAGTGTACAGAAGAAAAGCTCAGCAAAGATACAGCTGTCCCTTTGTTTTGTTCTGTTCCCTCAGTGGAGTGAGGAAAGGTTTAATATTCATTTAATTAGTCAGTGTGGTAGAGGGATTTTTGAGATGCTAATGGATGAAATTATGCAAAACTTCAGAGAAATTAGTTTTATTTGCACTTCAAAAACACGTTTCTGCATCTTGTTAGATGGCACAGTAGTATCATCAATGAGTGTTTCTTATTTAAATCTGTTATTTCACAGAGCGCCAGGGAGGGCCTTACATAATTTCCCGTACAAAGTGGAAGTGTTTTCTTGTGAAGTGGGAAGGGGAGAAGGTAGCAAATGTTTCTCCTTTTAATTTACCTTTAAGATGTTTGCTTGGGAGTGAATAAGAACACAGCACTCCTGTCATAGTACTTCTGTCTTCAGTTCAGAAGTAAACAGCTTTTACCACAACTGGATTTTCACTGCTGGCGGCTGGTTGTGGAGCCAGTTGTGTCATGTTGTGTTCTTTAGCATCTATGCAGTGTGTTTTGGTGAAAAGCGCTGCGATACACACGGCAATTTACCTCATTCCCACACAAGTGTCACCTTGAGGTACCCAGCTGGTTTGTCATGAGATTCCCTTGAACAGATAACTGGCTTTTACTGCAGGCTCAATATTTAGAGCCCCTGATGAGCTGAAACCACAGCCTATTGTGGACAGTAACAGGTACGAATTCATGAGACTGAGGTGAGGAAAGAACTAGCAGCATGCTTCTCAGGTTGCATTTAATAGTGTTAAGTGATTAATTTAAAATCTGTTCCAGGGAGAACTGTTTGTTCTCACTCCTGCTATCAGTGTAGAAGGCTACAGGGAACAGTCAGAAAAAAGGGTACTGGGGTCTCATTACAAACCTGATTTTAGTTTCCTGTTCTGAAGTTTGATACTGCAGAGAGTGCAGACCCCATGTTATTATCCGGAAAAACTTGGGGAACTTGGATTTCTTTAAGCATTCATTTAAATGTAGGGGGGGGGGCTGGAGAAAAGCACCCCAGGGCTGGTTTAAATAACTTTTGACTGATGCCTTTGGGCATGCATGTCCATAACAGGAAAGTTTAAGCCCAGAGATTTCTCATGATAGCTACCTGATCTCTGGATTTCTTACATCCATTTTTGGGGCAGGGGGAGTATTTTACATGCAACTTACCTATTTTTAAATCAAGAAATGTGACTGTGGTCTTAAGGAAATCATGACAACAGATGAGCTGGAGAATGTGGCTTTTTTAAAATCACTGAGCTTCAGCTGTGCTGTCTGAAGTTACTTTAACAATTGTGTTACCAAGATCCTGTTGATGGAAAAGTTCTCTTTGGAAGACCCTTTCTGTGAGAAACTGCTCCGTCAGTTGAGCTTTATTCTTCAAAATGGCTCTAGGCTTTTTGGGAAGGGAAATACCAGCCTTGAAAGGCTGATCTGAGGCTAGCAGATTAGTGATGTTTGCAAACATCCCAAAAGGATAGCTGTAGTAGTTGAACCCTAGAATGACTTTTGAAATTGTACAAACTTTTAAGTGTGTGGTTTGTTTGCTTTTGTTGGTTGGGTGGGTGTTTTTGTTTGTTTGTTTTGCTCGGTGGATGTGTAATGCCAAGTTTAGCCTGAGTTGTTTTCTTCACTGCACAGGTTCTTTGAGAATCTCTGTATCTGCTGCGTAGGTAGCAAACCTGCTTTCTGTCCCTCCAGTAACCACTGCAATGTGGTCATGTAGTCCCACTGGAAATGAACGCACAGCAGAAACTGAGGGTAGGGCCTATTGGAAGAGAAATGGGATTTTATGTTACACTAAATAACAGAAGCTGCTCTACTTCAATTGCATTATTCATTGTCATATTTTAGACAGTTGTAGCCCAGATTTTCATCATGTAAACTAAGTTGAGGGAAAAATTCAAGGCAGCAGGGACTGAAACCTCAGCCCATGCTGGGTGACTTGTCTGAGGTTGAGGTGGTGTGTGTCTGAGGCCTTCCGTGAGCAGCATCTATTGCACTGATCTATTGCACTGACAATTGAAGTTCATGAGAGTCTTGTAGCAGCTCTGAGGGCTGCAGGGAGTTCAGCCCTTCCCGAAGCCTGAGGTTAGGCACAGTGCCCATTTCTCATACAAGGCCTGTTGCTTTTATTTTTTAGATCAGATGTTGCCCCACAGTTTATTTCAGATAATCCATCCCCAATCCAAATCTCTCATCTTCTGAAGTTTCATGGCCCTAAAAAGTAATTTGTTAGTGCTCCCTAGGTTTGGCAGAGTTGTCCTTTAGACCACCAGCGTTTTCTGCAAGAATTGTCCTTGGAATGCAAGAGCATGGCTTCGTTCATGTACTGAACATCACCAATATGCTGAGTATGTTCATCAGTTTATCAGCAGTCAGTTTTGAGGAAACTCAGCAGCCTCTCTAAAGATTTCTTTCAGGCTTATTTCTTTGGTTTGCTTCAGCGCTATTAACTTGAATGCTGGTGGTGTTTTGTTGGCAAGTCTGATCTCATAGCATGGTTGAATCTTATGTGGGTTTTCCAGACAGATACGAGCTTTTCTTGCTTGTTCTCCAAGATACCTGGTTGTGAGCTTGCTGAAAACAAGGTGATGTGAAAGGTGCTAAGCTGGAGCTAATGCACTTTGCTCTCAACAAAGTTCATTCATTTCTATGTGGAGTACAGACAGACCATGTTCAGGTCTGCCTGTGAAAGCCACAAACACACCCTTCACTGACTGTTATCACTCGGGATGAAGTCCTTAATTGTGAAATATTTGAAAGTGCTAATAGCTTTGTATAAGCACCAAAACACAGAGAGGTAATCGGTTACAACAAAAACGCATTACTGGAAATATTTTTCAGCGTCCCTGAACTTTAAACCTGTTGCATACAACAAAGAGCCAGAAACAAGAATGAAACAGATATCTAACTTTTCTTCCCTTGTGAGATGATGCAGCTGACCTGATACTTCTTTTTAGTGCCATTTCAATGACTAGGTAATGGTTGAGGAAGGACAGAGGTAAAATGCTGACAGTGGGTGCTAGATGGAAAGTTAATAGAGAAAGAAATGGGGAAGCAGCTCCTTTTTCAAAATCACTGTGTGGCAGTGTTGAATCTGGCAAAATTGCATTTTTTGGAGAGGACACAATGTTTGATGGCTTTTCCAGTTTGTTAGTGGGAGACTGTCAAAGTATTGAAAGTAATGACATCCAGCTTTCCATCAAATAGGCAGAGTGAACTGTTTGGCATGTGTCTACTAAATTTCATACAGTTAGTGTTGTCTCTAGATACTGGCAAATTCATTTTGCCTAACTTAGATCTGTCTTTGGTTTGAGAACTTGTTTTTTTGCTTCCATTGCTACTGATGTTCCTCTAAGGAAGAACTGAAAGAGGAGAACTGAAAAAAGGGGAAGAAGGTGCTTTGTACAATCACCAAAACTCAGACACTGTTGTCTTTTCACAGTGGTGATAGTTTGTGGCAATGCCACCAATTCCCATGTTTGTCTGGATTCTCAGCAACATAGATGCTCCAGCTGCCTGCTTAGTATGTGATGCCCTGTGTCAGTTTTGGTAACGTCACCTGTGTTTAAGGCTTTTTTTATTTTAATCGAATAGCAGCATAGAAATGATAGGACCAACACTTAAAACGTGTGACAATTTGGTGAAGCTCAGAAAAAGACTTTAAGGAGGTTCAGATCCCTTCCAGAGCAGAGCCTTGACTGGAAGAAAACGGGTAACTTAGTCATTCTCTGCACCTGACAGAGGTGACAAAGGGGGAGGGGGTATTATATTGCCATAGCAGGACCAGAGAGCACAGGAAGAATTGTGTGCCAAGGCAATTTGGTCTCCATCTTTCTTCCTTTTAACCCTTTTCAGAGTATGGAGGCAAGTGGAAACTGCTCCATTATTTTGCCCAGAACTTCTTTGCACCACTGCTGCCTGTGGCCTATGAAGACAAAGGTGTGTTGTACATTTACGGTGTCTCAGATCTTCACGTGGACCACAAGATGACTTTGAGGGTAAGTGATGTCTCTCTTGCCACCCTTGTGTCCCTCCTGCAAAAATGTGAGAAGTTGAATAAGCCTATCTTTATATACCCAAGCTTTAGTAAGTTCATATTCGAATGCAATGAGGTGCTATTCTTGTCTTTAACCTTCTTGGGGGCAACATTATCCTTTCTTATAGTAGTGCGTACTGCTTCACAGAACAAGGAATTAATTGCCTCGCTTATAACCTGTAGGTATAGGCCTGAAATTAACTATTCTGTTGAAATCTTAAAGGAATTGGTGGTTAAATAGAACAAAGTGTGGAAAATGGTACCTCAATACTTAACAAAACTGTTCCCTAGGTGTTAGAAGTAGATTAACAAAAGGTGGGGGGAGGAAGGATTGTACCATTGCTTGCTATTACTCTTACTTACACTAGTTTTGGAAAATGAACTAGATTATCTTCTGAAATATCAACAGAACATCTAGGTGTACTTTAATTGCAAGGTCACCTCTACAATGTCATCGTTTTACAGTTGATGCCGTAACTGTTTTCTGATAATGCTATAGAAACTGTTAGGATTTCTGTGGAAGTATTTGGGCTGCCGAGTTGTCCTGTAGAACACAACCTTCCTTTTCAATTTGTTACACTTTGTCGTTGTTACTGGTATGGCAACCAGATCTCAAATAAATTTAGGGGCCATTTTGCACTAGGAGATACAATTCCTGACGTAAGGGGTGTCCCATGTGAAAAGGCTGGGAAGGACAGAAAAATAGATCTAGAGACGTGGAATGACTCATTAGTCATTTCAGAACTTCGTAGTTTGAATATGCCTAGTTCACTGCTCTGTCTGTTGGGCTGCTATGAATTTTCAGTTTTATAAGGTTACTTTATATATAGTAATATATAGTATAGAAAATTGTTGCAAATTCTGGATAGTCGGTTCTTGGAGAAGGACTGCACTTAATCAAATTGTTTATTTCCGGTCTGAGTTACTATAACAGGCTTAAATTCAGATTTTCTGATAGCGTCAGAGAAGCATTGGCAGTAGGGTAGTTCTGATGAATACTGTATTTCGCACTTCAAGAAAATTTGGACCTTGAAACTTCTGAAAGGAGTTAAGATCTGTTCCTGACTGTGGACCCCTGTTAAGGTGAAAAATAACCTAAATTGTTTGAAGAGATAGAATGCTGTAATTCTCATTAAGTGCCTATCTTTGAAATTATGCTGCCTTTTTTAACATAAAGGCACATTCATAATGCGCGCGTGATCTCTGGGAATGTATATTTTACTGCACTAATATAACTTCTATAATGACTTTTAAAATGGTGCAGCTTGCTTCTGTTTAACGGTGATTGTGCAGAAGCTCTAGATTACCCACTTGGGTTACATCAGATAACACTGAGCAATCTCAAGAAAATCCTTTGTCTGACTTTTTTTAATCAGGGAGGGGAGGAAAAAGAGTCAACAAAGTAGTCACTAATTCCATTTCCCAGCACTCCCTTGGCAGGAATTGGCAACCCCCTCCTCTCAAGGAGCCTGGAGAAAAAAAGCCTTGCAGATCAAACACACCAACAGATCCAGACTGTTTGAAGCAGACTGCTTGTTAGGTTTATATGATTTAATTATTATGCCCTATCGATTGTTTAAATCTTTGTGGAGTTTCTTGCTAGATGGAAATCAGCTGGTACTGTCAGGCAAACATCTCTTGCAATAAGCAATGTGGAACCTGGGATGCTGGGTTGTTTCCACAGATGTAACTTTGCTTCTAAGCTTTGTGCTCTCTCAACGTGCTTGATAGGTCGTTGTGCATGCCTGGAGTTCCTTGGAGCCAGTATGCACCCTTGCCAAAGGCAGTGTGACTGTTAAAGCACAAAGTGCTGTCCCCATCTATGAGGAGTCCATAAATGACTTGCTGGAAAGATGCAGAAATTGTACCAGGAAAAGCTGCATTGTTACTTTCTGTCTTGTTGGAGAAGGTGGGCTCCAGAGTCCTGTGAACCATCACTTTCTTTCATCACTGAAGGATGCTGTAGGATTAGAAAAGACCCAGCTTAGTGTAAGTATGAGTCATGCTGAATTACTGTACTTGGTTTTGCTAATGGTTTGAGTTGTTTGCCCGCTATGCAGTGTCCGATTCCTCTTAATGTTCTTTCTCCTTAGCTGTTGCAATTCTAGCTTCCATGCTGAGTTCAAAATCAGTTGTTTTTTTTCTGTCACTATATGCATATCTAAACAATGAAGTCTCAATTTCATTTGTTTTGACTGTATTTCACCTGACTGCTGCAGCACTGCTCCTTTCATTCTTTTGTCCCTAGATAGCAAATAGCATCATGGCCAATGTGTTGGCTTGCAGACAGTACTGTACGTCAGTGCTAGGTGATGCTGGTTCAGCTGAGTGCAGAGTGCATCGTTGTCGGCAGCGTTTGCTCTTGAAGTGCTCAGACTCTCAGATCAGTGTACCATTGCTAATATGCAGTATTGCATGCGCCCTTCCTTCTTCTGCAAATCCCTGCCCTCTAGCTAAGGGTTCTGATTTGCATAATAGCAATTATTTCTTAATATCTGGCAAGTGCGTCAGTCTTCTGAACAGGCTTAAAAAGCATCAGTGTTGTATAACACTGTCATTTAGTCCATTTGCTACTTTTCCCTAGATTTCTTCCGCTCCTAGCAAGCGTGCTCTATATATAGAGAGCAAGCATACTCTCTGTGTGTGTGTATACACACATTTTGCTAAGCCTCACTTCTTAGCATGTAAATCTTATTGCAAAATTCTTAATCAGCAGATTGGCAGGATGAGGACCTGCATATTCTCACATTTGGCTTCCAAACTGCAGCTTTGCTCTTTAGAGCTAAGCTAAACAAGGGGGGAATAGAGGTCTTTAATCTCTTTGAATCTGGACGAGCATAATTGCTTTACAAAAAGAAAATGGGCCAGATTTTCCCCTCTTATCTCTTTTATAACAGCATGGTCTGCCTCCTGAGTATACAAAGGAAAGATATCAGCCTGTTTTGGGGTTTTTTTCAGCTGGTGGCACAATCTGGAGTCTGAGTCATGCTGGGTTTTTTTGTGGATGACATCATCAATAATAAAAGCTCTGCAACTGGAGCATCATTGGGAAATTTCACTCCTTTTTCCCATGGCTGTGTTGTCTCCGCAGTACTAACGAATAAGGATAGCTAGCAAGGATAGATGCAAAGTGGTTATTTTAAGGAAGTATAGAGCTGTGATTTAAAAAATTATTCTGTTTTGTGAGAAGCTGGTGCTTCTGTACATAGTTACTAATAAACTAACTAGACTTTCAAATACGTTGCTAATCCAAGTGCTACCCTTCATAGCATTGCTTTTAAAAAACATGAAGACTTTAGTGTTTCTTCAGAAAGCACAAAATGTAAAGGATGTGTGCTTTTTCTTAAAAATGAATAGTGTTGTCTCTCTTGTAAGCGGGACATTTTCTGCACTTAACATAATTTGTCTGCTTTTTATAAGTATTTATTTGGTATTTGAAAATGATGTAGCATAATTCATGATGGTGAATGGGGAGTGCTGTGTGAAAATGCATCCTGGTTGTGCTTGTAAGCCTCTCTGAGATGAACTACCGATAGAAGTTAATACAAAACATTATACCTTGTTCTGATATTTCACAACATAGCTGCCTTCTAAATGTAGTATAAGGGCTTCACTGCCGTGTTCCATTTAGATGAGGTGACCTACTGTGTTACTGTGATTTTTACCATCTTTTGCTTCTGTCTATTTCTATTACCAATGTAATTGGAAAGGCCAGCTACTTTAGTAGCTGTGAATTTATAGGTTGAGCCAAGTATGTTCGTGGAAGGACAAAACTTTTTCACTGTAGTAAGTATAGGTACAAGTCAGACTACCATTTATTCAGTTATTTTCATAAGAAGATGGTAAAGTGGTGACACTACATGGCATTTTTCCACAATCTGTAGTATTCTGTAGGAAGGCTATAATAACATTTGCAATTTTTGCATGATTTTTACATAGGAATGCTGTTGGTTTGACCTTTTGTTCCAGAAGAGACTTCCAAAAGAGAATAGTAATTTTGACCAAACACGGTTATTTACTCCGTTTTACTGACATGCGGGTCTTTCCCAGTTTGGGTGTAACTGGGTTCTGCTTTAACATGTATATCTTATTTTATTTATTTAATTTTTTAATTTATCTTCCAGGCCTCTGTATCCCAACAACATGACACTTATATATTTGTTCTTCAGACCACTGCAATTGCTCCTTTTGTTTCTCTGGATGTAGGGAGTATAAAGGGCAGATTTAGTGAGAATGGTTTCCTCATGACTGAAAAGAAGAAAGTGGTCATGTTTTATCCTTGGGAACCTACCAGTGTTGAAGAATTAGAAAAGTCGCTAACCTTGACCTCTCTGGTGGACGCTGTCTGAGGATAGTTCATTTCCTTCTGGATAAGGAGTGAAAGAGGAGGAGGAAAAAAATCAGAAGAATTTGACTAAAGTTGAAGTGACCCGCAGCTTGAGCAGACTGGAGAACATACTGTCTATTCTGTCATGTGTGAATTTTACCTGCTGGCTCAATGTAAAGATGTCAACAGCAAAGCTTGCGTATAATATATGTGGTGTATTGAAAGTACGGCTTTCTCAAGTAACGGGGGAAAATATCTTCCATGGACAAAGTGGGAGGGGTGAGTCGGTGCAAGAGAGCTAGTCCAAGTTCTCCAGTTCACATGAGATTGGAGTTGTGAATTCATCCGAACTAAGAGGCAACGCAAATATGCACCTCCAGACTATCGCTGTAAAAATCCCTATTTTTTCCAGTTTCACTGTGCCATAAGTGGAAATTCATCTTAGGATAACAGCAAGGTATGCCGGGGGCAAGGGGGAAGGGCAGGGAGTGAAGCTGAGACCACCCCCACATGTATGCCCCTACTTGGAGTGGTTTGATCTTATCTGCACCCAGATCAGGAGAGCACTACTCCTACCCTTTCAGATCTGTGGCTGTCACATCTGAGCCATCAGGTGTCCTGCCTGCCTCCTGCAAGGTATGCTTCCAAATAGACATGAAACCTGGGCTGTCTAGTCAGACATCAGGCAGATCTGTTCCCCTTCTGAAAGGGGAATTGAGTAGGAGATTGTTTTCTTCTCTCTACTCGTGCAACATTGAGCAATAACCTTGAGAGCTCTGCATCTAGCTTTGTCTCTTCCCAGAGGGCTGCAGGTGCAGCCACAAACCTGCTGCTGCTGCATGGGATCCTGCATAATGTGGCATAGTACGAGATACGCCTGGCTCTGGGGAAGGGAACAGGGAGAAGAGTTGACCAAATGTGCAAAGAGAAAGGAGGCAGCACGGAGAAGAAATGGTCATGTGAGAGGATCACAGCGTTACAAGTGACTCCATTTTCTCTGGTAGATGCATAGTGCAGGGGATGCTGTTCTCGCTTGGATGTTGCTGCACAGCTGTTCTGTTACCTCGTGGCATTCCTCACAAGTGGCCCTGTGCTCCACATTGATCCTTCTCCCTTTCCAACAAAGGAAAACCTCAACATCTTAATTTTGCTTCTTTGTGTGGGGGTTGCCCGTAGAAGACACGGTTGCCATCATTAGATGTGGTGGCACATTGAACGCCTTAGTCCATATGAAGTAATGGTGTTTCACCCTCTATTCTCTTTCGGAGTAATTTGTTTATAAAATGTTTAGGTTGCCCATAGAAGTGTCATCTCGCTTTGGCATTTGATACAAAGAAAATATGCTTGCTTCAGTATGAGGGGCTGCTGTAGCCTGTGGAGCTGAAAGCCTGAGGGCTCGGCTGCGAGGAAATCCAAGCCACAGAGCCCTGAGCAGCTTGCTAAACATTGGGCTTGTCTGTCAGATGTGGTTTGAAATGCAGCTGGGATCTTGCTGGGGTTCTGCAAGGATCCTCTCACAGTGCAAGCAAGTATTGATTTTCTTGCAAAGCACCTAGCAAAATCACCACTTTACAGTAGAAGATACTTGAACAATCTCTGCTGGTGATGTCCATCATCGTCGTAAAAACACCACGTGGATGATGCTTGTTGGGGGTCTGGAGCACATGTGGGGAGAGCGGCTGTGTATTCCATGGGTCAGAGAACTGCGAACTGGTGGTGGTTTTCTTGCAGTAATCACAGTTTTAATGGCCAGATAGATGAGCATACTGACTGATGCTCGGCAGTCTCTAGTGCTTTTTGAACTGGGCATTAACCAAAACTGACATACTCCTGAGCAAGAGGGAAAACTTAAAAGACGAAAGAGACATGAGATAAATAGGAGTTGCTTACAAATGCTTTATTAGGTCACCAAAACAACTAACTGCAGTTGCATAGGAGGGTTTTTCTGGTCCAGAACTTCTCCTAGTTGAAAGAAAACATGAAAGCAGTCAAAATATGTACATGTATGTGCCAATGTTTATAGGTTATATAAAATAAATAGGGAAAATGATAGTCATGAATAAAACTTATCAGTTAGAAAATGCAGACATTGATAAAGGAATTTAGAAGTTACCTGAGAGGCATCCTGGGCCAACAATACAAAAAAAATCCTTCAGGTTTTTCAGTGTCCTGGGATCAGCAGAATTAAAGCAGCAACAGAATTAATACAACGTAAGGATGAAAAAATGTGGAGAAAATATGGAATAAATATGATTAATAAATATTGCTGCAGTGTATTAGGAGAAGGGCAGGTTGGTCGATGTCTTACATTGATGTAGAAATGTCTCTCCCAGCAACATCTAGACAGAATTTAAAAATGGCACTTAATAGTGTTAAATAAATAACACTTTGACAGAATTACTTGTTTCAAAGACAATCAAGAGGACTATCTGAAGGTCAGTGACGTTTGTTCTTAGTGCATCTCGGAATATGAGTGAAGTTTCAGAGATATAGAAGGGAGCTTTTGGACTGCTGGAAGCCATAAACCGTGAATTTGGATAACTGTGACCTTGTTTAGCCTGTCACGACTTCTAGGCAAAATCATGAAAGAAATGACATGGTGCGTGATGAATAATTGATGAAGTGGCTGGGCACCTAACGCCTGTCAGCACTGTTATGCAGAACAACATTCTTTTATAAAATAGGATTTTTTGCTGTTGCATTCTGTAGTTGCCAGATTGGCATAAAAAGGTTCAGACAATTTTTAAATTGTTGTTATTTTTGAAGGTCAGGTGCTCCCTAAAGAGTGGGTCCATTCTTTCTCACTGGAAAGCTTTAATTCCGCACTAGCTGCTGTTATGAAAGATTAGCAATTGCTTAGGCCAAATGCTTGAGCTCAAAACAGAATTTAATGGGGGAGGTTCACTTCCATTATTGTCTTAATATCCTTAATATGTTCTTTTGGTTTCCTGGTGTTGTAGTAGGTATGTATTAATAGATGCTATTTTCTCCTCTCCCCTGTGCAGCAGCGGCTGTAACGTGTACCTTGGTTAACCATTTCCCCTTGGTACTTTCGCCGTTGTATACTGTGCTATATTTGGTGGTGTGGTTCTGCCTGTGTCTCAGATCGGGGCAAAGACAGGAATGCAACAGTGAAGAGGGCTGCATCCCTCACTCCTATCCACATTCCTTCTCTAGCCACCTGAGTGGTGTTGCAGCCACTCGGCAGCACCTGTATTGCCAGTTGTGTCTGATGGGCTGCGGATCAGCAGCAGGAGCACTGGGAAAAGCATTTGGTAAGTGTCATGGGGGCTTGTCCTCGGTGTCATTGAATTATTGGTGGCAACAGTAGAGGGGAATGGCCTCATCAGCATTCTTTCAGGGTGCAGCCTTGCAGCATTTTGTTCAAGGGATCACTGGGTTTGCTTGTGCTGGTGGCTTTTGTTTGCTTTCCAGCTCCTGCTGGGCTGTTCTCTGCCGACAGAAAAAGTGGCAGAGTTCCCCTCAGCAGGAGCCATGACAAATGCCCTTCCAGAACAGAACCTGAGAGCAGGTTTGGAAGAAAGCTGTATGGCACTGGCTAATTCATGGTCCTAAAACTGGTCTCTGGCAGAGATTTGGCTCTGAACCCATTTAGGACCTGCAGGGACCATTCTGAGCCTCTTTGTTGGTACTTTCTGCCATGTAAGGAAGAGCTGTTCTGCTCCGGTTTACTGCAGCATTTCCTTGGAAGCTTTTCCAAGTTCTTCTAGATCTTTTCCAGGAAAGAAGCATGTGAATGTATCTATAGTTCCTCTCTAAGTAAGCGTTCATAGCTCTTTGTCAGTCTTTGTTACCTGCGGTTTGCATACCTTGGAGCCTGGACAACTTTTCTGCCTTAGAGGCACGTCTGTCTGCAGTACTTCTGTTAGTCCTCTTGGTTTTGGAGACGAGTAGCAGAGACCACTTCGGTGACCTGTAGCAGTGTCAGGTGCAGAGGAACAGGCCAGTGAGTTTCTTATTCTCAGTAAAGTTGCAGCTTACAAGGCAGCCTTTACGTTGTCAGAATCGCAATTTTCTTTCTTACCCTCTGAGGGGTAAGCTGAGTCATCCAGGAACTTGCGGTTTGAATGTTTAAGGACATGTTCCAGTCAAAGAACTGGGTTTACATAACTCTGTTTTCCAGTTAAGATGTTACAGGATAGTGATGTGAAAGCCCCAATTTAGTTTAATTAGGGTGGAAAACAAAAACAAAAATGAAGAGTACAGAACCTTGAGATTACTTAAGTTTTGCCTCTGCCAACACTGAGGAAAGGCCATCTTACTGTAGGAAGTAGAGTTGGTTAGTAACGACCTGTAAATACCAGTTTTGATTATTAGTGTGCATTGTAGCCAAAATAGAGGTGTCTTTGGTGTGGGCCATTACAGTGAAGGCAACATGCTGCAGCCTGAAGGGAAACCACACCCTGAGGACTAGTCAGGAGGAAGGTGGTGAGCCTGGTTGCTTATCAGGACCTTTTCGGGGGGGATCTGCTTTTGGAAGTTGATCTTTCCTGAAGGGCTCTGTGAGTGCAAAGCGGTTCGGTATTGCTCGCTCTTGGCGTGGCTTTTTTACTTTGTGGCTCGCTGGGGACCTGGTTGGCTCTGTTGAGGGAATGGTTGTGGTAGAAGGGACATTACCCTTGCGTATTAGAACCACTGGCCTGTGGATCGAGCCAGGCTCTCTGGCCCAGCGGGGAGGTGGGTAATCCAGAACAGGAACTCTAAATAAGAATGAGCGTGGTCTGTGTCAAGCACGCTGTTCTCAGATGCAGCAGCTGAAAGTTTCAATCCTTTTGCATCGTGGTGAAAAATCAAAACCTTAAATGCTGGCCTCTGATAGCTCTTGGCAAACTGGGATTGTCGGACTTTTGCCAGCATTCTGGCTTATCTCCTCATGGTGTAGCAGTCCTTCTTTGCCCATTGTAAATATGCTAGATAGCGATACTCGGGCATGCTGGCCCTGTGATTCTGTCTTGCCAACTAGCACTTGACATACCAGGATTTAAGCTTCAGCTCACTTCC